TATATATATATATAAATTGTTAAATGAATAAGAAAGTACTTCTTTGTTTTTCTTTCATAGAATTGGTGAATTGAGGTGTCTTACATTTAATTGAACCCATTAACTCTAGATTTTATCTATCATATTAAACTATGTTAACTCTGAGTGATTTGGGCACTATTCTCAATATAAAATATGTCAAGAAAATATATTAATGAGAAGCACGATACATTGACTCTTTTCCTTTCTGTGGGGAAATGAACAATTTCTGTGCAGTTTTATCATTCCATCAAGTGCACCCACTCACAAGTACAGGGCTGAGCCAGTACTTAGAATGTCTTATTACGGACATTATGGGAAAACTTTTCTCAGTGAATATGTATGTCTTTTTAGGAAGAATAAATGCTAGCCTGTGACATTTATTATTTTTGCAACATCTAGGAAAGGAGTTTTTTGTTTTTTTTTTAACTGACATAGCAGCTAGAGGGAGCTGAAAATTTTTAATGTCCATATTTTCCAGATGATATAAAAATATAACTTTACTTGAATTTTAATTTAACTGTCTAATATGAAACTAGGGATAATAATAGAAAGGAAATTCGCTGGTCAGGTAACAAACTTCGTATTGAATGGGATTTGCTTAGAGTTCCTGGCCTTCAGAATGTTCCTTTCACACTCTTGCCCAAGGTTGCTAGATCAGACACTCTGGTAATTTAAAGAACGTATAAAATCAAATGATGCCTTATAAAACCAGACTCTTGAGTGTACATTTAAGTGACATTGAAAAGCCATGTGCCATTTTTTAGGTCTAGAGGCTTTTAAAGAACACCAGAATCAAAATATGTCTTGCAAATGCTGATTTTTTCTTCTTCTAGGCATTCAGATGGATACAGTTGAAAAAAGATAAAAGGTTATGAGGCAAATAATGATCTATTGACAGCAAATCTATGGATTACTGCTAGGCTTTTATTTGTGTGCTTAATTTAAGATGATAGAATTTTTGTGATGCTTTGTGTGAAAATACTAAGCAATCCTGAATCAAATACAGAAAATATTTCCAACATTTACATTTTTGTCACTTTCACATTTTTTAAAAACTTCAAGACAATCTTGGGGCCTAATTGGATGTACACAGTATTTAATATCAAAGAACAAATGTAGGTGCAGCTATTCATTTTGGATATTTTGGAAGGAATATATATGTATCCATTTGATGGTAGATTTTTCTGGGAGGTGATGTGCTTTGGTTCTAGAGCAGTGAAAACTTTGAGGTACTCTGTCAAGGACCATGTTACTGGCCATATTGATTTTCTGATCATAGTAAAATCTTTTTAGTCTCTTGCAGATAATTTGCTGCTGTACTGCTGTTTACTGCAGCTTGAGGAAGGGAGGAATAGATCATTTTGAAAGGATTAAGAGAAAGGATAAAAATTATAGGCTGTCTGTTAAAATACCCTGATAATGTATGTTTGTTAAAAGTAGAGTAGGGTGAGTCATGTTTTACCAGGAAAGCACAGATGTGTTTCAGTATGATTAGAAAAAGGTAAAGATTTTTGTCCTTAGTATCATTCAGCTAGTGTAATGAGCATTATTGATTAAAATGTTAGGATCAATAAAGATTTAAAGTTGCAGTAGAGGAGACCTTACAGAAGAGAAAAAGGTTACGGTCTGTTGAGTAGGCAGGCAATTAAATGCTTTGTAGAAAATTGATTTCTTAAACTTGAACTGTCAGTTACTCTGCTTGGTCTTCATCAGCATGGGTTCTTCTGCAGAATATGCACAGAAAACAATATGCATTTCTATAAGACTCATACACTAAATATTCGTGAACATCGTGCACAATGAGAAGTTCATTATTTAAGGTTTTCCAAAGAATTCTCCATAATGGTAATGAGGAATGATGAATGATACCTTTCAAGTCATTGAGCAATCAATAAACTTAACATTGTTTCTTCTTAGAATTTTTTTTTGTATATATATATGGTCAGATTCTAGTATTTAAACAGTAATGTTTTAAATCTCTCTTTTTCTCAACTTATCAGTATCAAAATATACCAAATGTATTGGACTTTTTGTGTTACAGCCTCATAACCAAGGATAAGGAGTTAGATATTCCTCACACAGAAGCAATTCCCCTGCTATTTGTTGTTTATTACTGTTATTTATAGAAGATAATCTGGACTGATCTGGAAAAATCTATGAGTAGGATACCAAACCATACAGGGGTCAGTGCCAGAGTGGAGAAAAGACTATAATCAAACTATCAACAAGTCAAGAAAGGAAGTAAAATCCACTAATACAAATTTTAGGAAAAACATCTCAAATTAATGAGCATATTTTTGAAAGTGTATACAAAAATAACCCTAAACAATCCAGAGCCAGTACCTAAAAATACCAACAACTAAACATGGGCTTTAATGGGTGCTATGGAGAAAAGGTGGAAAGGTATAAAAAAAGGCTTAAGTGGGAGGAAAAGAACAAATGCTGACCAGTCCCCTCACTTCTGATTAGGAGACATTTCTTGGGGCTATTTTTTGCATTATATTTCCATATAACTAATTTAAATTTCTTTTAAATTTTTAAAAATAATGTTTTAGATTGGGTCCAAAAAATAATTTTTTAAAAATCAAACTTGACCTTAGTGAAACAGTGAATTTCACTGCTTATTTTTCTAAGATATTTGTGCATGCATTGAATTGCAATAACTATCTATATGTAGAAATGAATGATAAACATTACAAATTCATTTCTTATAAGTTGCATAAAATATCAATAAAAATAATAGTTAATTATAAAGTTATTTAATCGCCTTTGGAGGAGCTCTTTTGCAAACAACTCATTATAGGTTTGCTTCAATTTTGAATTCTTAGTTGTGACTCTATAACATGTTTTCAGGTATTCTGGATAGAGAAATCTGTGGTTCATTGTCTAGCCCTTTGATTTTGGTGGATTTCCGATCTTGTAATCAAGAGTTCACACTGTCTGGAAGAATGTTTTAGAAACCAGTGGGTTCTCACTTCCTCTTGCCTTGGCACACAGGTGCACCCTGAGTGTGACACTGTAGCAAGCCATCATTCTACCCAGGAGCCATGGGCTGCCTCCTGGCTACATTATGCAGGCTATAGATGTGATGCAAAAGCAGGTGAGTCTAATGCTTGTTTAGGGGAGTTTTAGAATTCCCTGTGTATGAAGGTTCCTTTGTTCATTCATCAGGTCAGGTGTCTGACTGGTGCCTTGATGTGTAGGGAACTTTTCCAGACACATGACTTAGTAAGGTAAGTCGTGGGTGAGAAGCAACCCCGTGGGATGAGGCCTTGGTACAGACTCTTAGGTAAGGGTTCTCCAAGAATTTTGGACAACCCTAGAAAAAGGGAGGTCTATGCAATAATCTCAAGGAGTAAAGGGAATTGTCAATTCAAATGGACAGGAATGGATTAGGGGCTTGTGTAAGGGACAAGATAAAGGACATTTGGAATTTTCTGGAAGTTGTAGGTGATTTAGTAAATCTTGAGGAATGGATTGAGAGAGGGACAGTCAAGAAAAAAGATGGAAAAACTGAGCAATCTGCTTACTTATTACATACTTCTGGTGATCTCTCAGA